TATATATATATATACTCTAACAAGAAACCGGAAAAAGATCCGAAAAAAAGAAAAAAAATTTATAAAAATAGTAAACTAATAAAATTTTTTACTAATTTTTATTAATTTTTTCCCTCTTTTTCGGATTTTTTTTCTCCGGTTTCTTGTTATTTTTATTTTTATTATTATTTTTCTTTGTCCCCCTTTTTTCAATGTTCAGTAATTTTTCCATGTTTTCTCTACATTTTGAACTTATTTTATGAGTTCTATTTACTTGCAGCTTATGCGTAGTAAATAAAACTTATTGTTTTCCTTAAATTTCTTCGTGTTTTCTTTCTTTTTTTGTATTTGTTTATTATGCTATTTATATATATATCTATATATATAAATTAATATACTTCTACAATAGTGAGAAGAGCTTCAAAAACCGAAATCAATTCTTATCTTTAAAATAATCTAGTAAAGAAAAATTATTTCCTATTTTTAATAGTAAAAATCTGAAAACGAAATAAGTTTTAAGTTTTGCTCAGTCAAGCTTATTGCGATTTTTTTGTAATTGTTGAGAATTATATGGCAGCAAATGTTTCAATTGGGCAAATTTCGATAATCAATAGATCTTAAAATGCTTAGTAAAATTTTATGCATTGTTATACAAATGCAAACAGAACTTTTTTTTTGAGAAATTGTATTTAAAATGGTTTAAAATTAAAAAAAAACTACCAATTTTTGTAAAGTATGCCTATTGAGATCTGAATTTAAAATACTGAGAAGTACGATGTGGCAACAAATGTTTCAAGAGCAAGAGTTTCCGAAGTAAATGGTTTTTGAAATTTTATTTAAAATAGTTTTGTTATGTAATAAACGTTGAAGTTATAAAATTTAAAAATTTTGTCAACTGTCAAGTACAACACTTTTATTCAGAATGTTGAGAGGAACTATACTACTACAAGAGACTTTCACAAATGCGAACATAATTTTTTTGCTAATTTTTTTAATGATCTAAATTAATTATCTTAACAACTATAGATTTTTTTGCAGTCATTCCAATTTAGATTTTGTTCAGATAGCTAAAAACTATATAGCAACAAAAGTCTCTTACTAATTTCTTTTTCCTTTTTAGCTCTTTATTATGAAATTAAGTTTTAAACTAATTGGCAAAAATAAAGTATAACAATGGAATATGTAATATTTACTTAATTTAAAATGAAATTTAGTGTCTAAGCTAGCACAATATTCGCAAAGTATAACAAAAATAAATTATTTTCACGAAATTTATAAAAGACTCCTACTTTTATGCCCTCATTTCTTTTGTCCGAAACTTTTATTGCAATTTTAATCTGTTTTGTATTGAAAACGTACACAAAGCAAAGATGATAGGATTTCGGTGCGAGAAGTTCAACTATTAATCTTAATTTCCGAGATAATACGATTAATATATCTTGTATGATATCAGGAATTTACTCTTTTTTTTAGGTTCGTAAATCTGTTTAGAGGAAATGGTGTTAAGTTCTTTACGATTGATGGTTTTACCTCGAAGGACTTTAAACTTAATTAAGATTTTCAGGGCTATACTAAATCTATCAATTACTTTTATGGGATATTTACTTAAACGAAAACAGTATTGTTTTAGGGGTAAATTTATTACGTTTCTTTTTTAAATGAAATCGATTGTAATCATTCTTATGTCTTTATAATCCTTTTTAGTTTAGTTAGCCTATTAACCTGATGGTT